CCCAGGTGTTTCTCTCACAAGTACCTGTTGACATCGCTAATAACTTATCTGAGACAGAAGAGACTTGTGAGGTTAGACCTTGAGCAGGACAGGATCTGGTTTCAGGAGAAGAAGCTCATGCAACTTAAAGTTCTGATAAATGTTAATGTAAATATTGAGTAGGATTTTGACTGGACTCAATCATGGCAACCTGTGATTTAATTACTTATTTTAGTCAACATTTTAAATATTCTTCATGGAAGCAATGGGAAGAACCTCTAACTTTGTACCTTCCTCGGACCCTAGAGCAGCTTAACACAGCCCCGTTAGAGACGTGCGGCCAGCAGGAGACAGCTCTGGAGCATGAGGATGAATTCATAGGTGCTTCACCTGCATTTGGAGAGCTCACACTTTCTAGTATTTCTCTGCATGCTTCTTGGCTGGGCGAGCAGAGGAATGGGAGTCAGGACTCCAGGGACATTTCTGGACTCGTGTGTGATCCTCTTCTCATGGACTTAATCCACCTGCTCTCAGAACGGTGAGCGTCGTTAAAGATGAAGATTTCAGAAGAAGCCATCTCACTTTCCAGAGATTCATTAGGACCCATGCACAGTTCTAACGACCAGCTCATCCCAGTGTGGGAAGAAGTGATAAAGGAATGGGCTTTTGAAGGGAAGAGGTATCACTCAGCCAACTTACTTCTTAAGTCTCAGCTTCTTAAGTCTCAACTCCAAAGCCATGTGCCAGCTACTCAGATGCTCCCTTTGCTTCGCAGAGCTCTCTCCCCCCTTCATCCTACCCTCACTCTCTCCCCACACTCAGCCCCACTTTCCTCCCCACACTTACTTTGCCTGAAAACTTAGTATCTGTCTTCCAAGCAGGAACTCAGGGTCACTATGTCCAAGAGACCTGCCCCACTTTCCTCAGGCTTGGCTGGACACCTTCCCCTCTATTCCTATGTATCCTGAGCTTCTTTCCGTCACAGCACTTTCCACACTCCATTGTAATCAGTTTACTGGTATCTCCCCCCAGGTCAACTGTGAACATTTGGGAATCGCGATTCATGTCTCATTTGTCCTTGTATATTATGTGCTTAACATAGTACTCGGTGTACTGTCAGTATGTAGTAAGTGCTCAATAAATGAAGGAATTATATTTTTCCTTGATCCTGATATTTCCATAAGAGCTTGACCATAGCACATCAACCCAATGGAGAAGTTCTAGGGTGTATGTGTGTGTGGGGTGTGTGTCTGGGCATGTTGCTATTATAGGGATGGGAGAAAGAATGGTCTTCTTCCTTGGCAGTAACTGAAGCAACAATGAAAATTCTAAATAAAACCTGAAGAAATGTTGATCAACCATCCTGGTTTCACTGGGACTGAGTGGTTTCCTGAGATGTGGGACTTTTTCTGCTAAAACCAAGGCTGTCCCAGGCAAACCAGGACGAAGGACCTACCTGAAGGCCACCTGATTCTCCGCCTACAGGGCTTCTGTGGTAATCACCCTCCTGGGTCTTTGGCTCTAGGACTCTCTGTAACTTAGCCGCTTGGACCAGGTTACATCTGATTCAGCTTTAGCAGATGAGGGGTGAACCATGCATTGCTAAGAATTTTCCAAGTCACAGAGATGCTTAAAATGGATGAGTCTCTGACATTTTTCCTACTCAAGTTCCCTTGCCCAGAGTCACCCCGTCCCTTCTTTGTAGCTCATTGCTCGTTTTCTTCTTCTAGTGATAGGTCTTCCCTGAGTTTTAGAGATGAGAGAACAGAGCAGCTGCCTTGGACTTGGAGGTAGACCCACTTGTTGGGAATGAAGAGCCACTCCACAGACTCTGTGCTGTCAGGTGAGGGAGGAATAAAATTCTCTTTTGTTTAAAACATTGTAATTCAGAATCACTTTATTATGGAGATTATCATCTACCCTAAATAATACATTAACCAAACATTATTTTCTGTCTACAGAGCTCATGATTATTTACCTGTTGTAAAACTCAGAGATTTCCCCACCCCAGAGATCCATGGAAACCAATAACACCAAAATCAACAATCACCACTACTGCCATTTAGTGAGCACTTACTTAGTGCCTGATGGGACCTCCATGACAGACCCTCAGACGCATAATCTCACTTTATCACCAGAGTAGTCCTCTGCGGTGAGTTTTATTTTCTCTATTTTACATATGAGAAAAAAAGAGCTGAAAGATGATGTAAGTAGTCCAGGTTACACACCCAATAACGGAAGATTCAGGATCTGAATCTTGACCAGTCTTTCAAACATAAACTATAGAGAATCCAAGTCATTTTTCCTAACATCTAATTCCTTAGACACCCAAAAAGTTAATCAGAGGTCAAATGGACCTCCCTTTTTCCCAGTCTCCTGCCAAAAGAAGCATCTTGACCTCAACATGACCCCTACATTACCCCTCAACATTACTCTCTGTAATGCCCTCTGGTCTCTTCCACCACCTTTTTTTTTTTTTTTTTTTTTTTTTTGCGGTACGCAGGCCTCACTTTTGTGGCCTCTCCCGTTGCGGAGCACAGGCTCTGGACGCACAGGCTCAGTGGCCATGGCTCACGGGCCCAGCCGCTCCGCGGCATGTGGGATCCTCCCGGACCGGGGCACGAACCTGTGTCCCCTGCATCTGCAGGCGGACTCTCAACCACTACGCCACCAGGGAAGCCCCCACCACCTATTTTTTTACACTAATGCCAGAGCTGTGTTTGCAGATCAGGACCCGTTATTCGCCTACAGAAAAACTTTTAAAGGGAGCCCACTACCTCCTGCAGCGATTCTTTGAAGGTTGAGGATGAAGTTGGAGGGAATACTGAAATCATGTCTCGTATTAAAAACATTCCCCAGATGAATCAAATAGCTCTCATTTCTCCCATACCCTGTTCATACCTACATTCTAGGGGTGAACCTCTAGCCTAAACAGAAAACCAAATAAGCAAATAAACAGCAAACTAGAATACAAACATTTATGGGACACTTGTTCTATGCAGGCAATATGCAGTATCATATGTTATCTGATTTATTCTCTTAAATATACTAGCTGCATTTGCATATCTTATTTCATTCAATCCTCATAAATGTTCCATGAGAAAGATGTTATTATTATCTCTAGTTTAAAAATGAGAAAATGGATACCTAGAGAGAATAATTCACATGGAGTCATGCACTAGTAAATTTCAGAGTCCAAAGTGAACCTAGGTCTTGATTCCAAGTCCAGAGCCCTTTCCATAACAATCCCCCTAATATGGTACACAGGACCCTTCCACATCTCCTGTCTTACTTGGCTCATTTCACACAGGGCTCTCCCCCATAGCCCCATTCATTAGGATGAGCAACTCACTGGGCCTGGAATTCTCCATTTCATTATCATAAGGGCTGTTTCCTCCTCCTCCCCTGTCCATCTGTCCCCTCCTATCTTCATTCCTTTTCTCCATCCAGGCAAGACCCCAGGATCTAACACTTCAAGCAAAAGCACCTCCTGCTGCCAAGTTCCCAAAATGTCCTTGATCTTTTTCTTTCCATTATGCTGACCTTGAAAAACCTTCAACCCTGGATCCGTCTCCCCTCCTTCATGGGATCTGTGAAGAACCTTTGGAGAAAATCACAACTCACAAATTATCTCAGGTCTCCAACTTCCACTGGGCTCTTAACATTGCCTGGTGCTCCTTCTATGCTTCCCCAAACGCCCTCGGCAGACGACCTTGCCTCCTGTTTCACTTGAAAAACTAGAAGTCATCATCCAACCACCCATTCATCTAACAAGTATTTACTGAGTCCCTCCGTGAGCAAGGGATACTTCTGGGTTCTAGGAATACAGCAGTGAATATAAGAGACAAAACCTTGCAGAGCTTACATTCCAGTGGGAAGTGAATGACAGCAAACAAATGAGCAAGTTCTCTACTGCACAGTATGTCCAATAGTAAAGTTGTCACAGAGAAAAATAAAAAGGGGGCAGGGGAGGAACAAATGGACATTTTTAAAAGATGGTAAAGAGGATCTTCACTGATAAGGTAATACCTGAGCAGAGACTCCAAAGGAACATCAACCTGAAATTGTCTCAAGCTCCTGTCCTTTGCCTACACAAGCACCTCTGTACCTACCTCCACCTGTGCTGCCTCTGCTGTCAGTCCTCAAGGTTCTGGACTGCATTTCCCTCCTCCTTCCTCCTCAGAGGCTTTCTTCCATCAGTTATATCTCCAGCCTCCCTTATTTGGGCCTTTACCTGAGCATCTCCACTTTCTGGATCATCCTTCTTCTTCCAACGTTTCTCTGCTCAGGACTCAGCTTAGATGCCCCTCTTCTCCCAGGCAGTCTTTGTTGACCATTGCTCTAGGCTGGCATTTGAACTTCCCTCATGTTTCCTTACTATGGTCTCTGCTTTACCCCTATTACCACTGTATTAGTTAGATTGCTCTAAGTGACACTGTGTAACAAGCAGCCCCAAGTCTCATTAGCTTAGAGCAAAACCAGAGAGACGTCTTTGTTGCTCGTGTTGCATGTCTACAGATAAGACCTGGCTGCTGAGTCTCTGCTTCAGGCTGTGGGTCAGGCTCAGATCCGCTCAGGGCAGCCTCTCTTTCAGGCCCTGCTTGGGGGACAGCCCCCTTTTGAGACATACTCTTCTCATGGCAGGTGACATAGGAACATAAGAGACTGAATGGAGCATCCATAGGATGCAAAGTCCCTGACCAGACATGGTGTAGGCAACATACACTCACATTCAACTGGCCAGAGCCCCTGCACGGCCAAGCCTATCATCAGGACGCAGGGGAGGAATGAGCACATGTAATAATCCTCCCACAGAGGAGCAAACGCATCATTGTAAGCAACAGTAAACCAAACACAAGCGCTCCCCCTCAAATGCCTTTTCATTGGTCTGTTTCCCCCAGTAAAACGTGAGCTCCTCTAAGTCCAAAATGATTTTTCACCATTTTCTTTTCAGTGCTTTTCACAACCCCTGGCATGTTGTAGGAGCTCAATATTAGTGGATCAAGTAAATACAGACTCACGTATCGCTTTTTAGATGTTCTCCTGATGTTGCAGGCTAAGAAAGTCACTTCTTTCTTTGGACTTTTCGCCGAACACTTAAGTCTACTCCAGCTCTTTCGACATATTATACATTTATTATTATTCTGTGTGAATTCCCTTCTTCTGGACTAGAGCAGACAATGGTATCTTGAGCGCTAGCCCCATCTCTGGAAGAGAGACATTCAGTAAATGTTTGAATAATTTCATCAAATCATTCCCGCTGTTTAAATCAGCATGTGTTTACTGATTATTTACTAGGTGCTAGGTATTCTCATTCTAACAGTTGGGGTTAGAAGCTAGAAAGTCTCAAAGGCCGGTGACGTCAAGAGAGAGAGAAGCAAGAGCTGAGAGGTCCCTGGGGTCCTGCCTTGAAGAGCTCCGCTTGCTTCCCCGCAGGCCGACTCAGGGCTGCTCCACGCGTCCGGGCTCTTCCCCACCCAGCCCGCCTGTGCCTCTCGCCCCCTTCACGTGGCTGTGATCTAAGCTTCCCGTCCAGTTTATTGCTTTGCACTGCTCAGCTCACCAGGCATATTTGCGTTGACTGCGCGATTAGCGCTGAGCACGCGGAACAAGGTAACGACAAGCAGCAGAGGCCAGGAGATGGCGCCCTGCTCTGGACACCACTTAACCCCTCTTTCTCTCGGAAGCACAGCTGCATGACACATTCAAGCCTGAACTTCCAAGAAGGAATCATCTAGGAAGTGGAATGCAGCCCAAGGGGCATTGCAGGGGCAAACCCAGTCACCGGCAGGACCAATGATTTGGAGTAAAGAGCGTTGTCTTCCATGGAAATGTAGCCAATAAGGAATTCACTGTTTGTGAACAATCTGATATGAGCTTCCAGACACTGAGTATGAGGGAGACAGAGGCTGGATCCTGAGCAGACTGGTGTTGAATTCAGGGAAAAGTAGGCATTTGGAAGAACATAAAGAGGAAGAAGGAAAAATGGTGAGCAGTGCCGGGTTATACCTTCCCATCATGCATCTGGGTCAGACAATATCTACCAAGTAGATGAAAAGATCTTCCTGTGATGACACCATGAGGCAGGGTTTCCAAGGACCCAGGCTACTGCTGCCCTCCCCACCTGGATGGAAAGTTTATAATCCCCACCCCCGCCAAACAACTAATACTATCTCTTCACAAAATGGCACCCTACCCTACCATCTTTTTTTATATCTGTATAAAAAAAGCAGATGAAAACTTCCCCCTTCCTATTTTCCCCTAACCAGTCCTCCTATTTATATCATGCATAAGTCGCTGCTGGTGCAAAGGAACAGCCGTACGCACACATTCATTCGTTCATTTGTTACTTCATTTCACAAATAACTGAGACATCTTAGCTACCAGGCACCGCCTGTACATCTTTGAATAAAATAAACCGTCTCTGCTATTGTAAAACTCATAATCTAGTGGAAGAGAGAAATATTACATAAGTAAACAAATATATAAATATAGATTGTGATAAGAGTTATGAATACTTCTTCATTTACAGCAGGAGTCTTTCTGACTTGAAGGGCTTCAGGGGAATTACAGGTAGAGTTCCTGAATTCCTGAATGTTATATGCAAAGTATCCTGTGTATGTGGATAGATTTTTTTTTCTCTGAGAAGTATCCACGGCTTTCATCAAAATCTCAGAGAGGTCTATGATCTTATAAAGTTTAACAACTGATATGTTCCAGCCACAGCAAACCGGATTTTCTTTTCTTCCATTGGCACCCTCTAGAATTGACTAAATTTGTTTGTGTTTATAGCTGGTACTAAAGCAGCCACGTCGGAAAGCAGAGATGTCACGTCCTGGACAGGCTCGTGGGCAGGTGAGCGAGACCTGTACCTGGAGAGAGTCCAGCCAAGATGTTTGCCTCGGGTTCCTTTGGGAAATGGGAAATAATTGATATTCACGTTCTTTTCCATAGGTTTCTGTACTTTCCATATTGTTTGCAGTAAATGATGCTTTTATAATCAGGAAAGCTAACACATTAAAGCTGTTATTTTGGGAGATATTATATATCTTACTTGTACACATCCCTTGTTAACTAATGCCTACAAATGTATTACACACAAAATGGACTGGTACTGTGGTTAGATCACATCTTTCTCTTATTCAGTTAGCCCAGGGCCGGGGATAGATTGGGAAGTCTGTCTGCTCAGCCATGATGGTGGTGATGGCAGCGTGCGTCTCACTGGAAGGCTAGGATCCTGGGCACTTACACATCTGTCAGCCCTGACCTTGGCCTCCACCATGTGCAGCTTCCAAGTCACCGAGAAGTCCATGCAGGAACAAGGAAGGAGTATTTAAGACAACCTTTCCAAGGTCAGGAATCATGAGTGTGAAGACAGTCCAGGATTTAGTCAAAGGATGAATTCAAGTCCAGGTTCTTCAAATGTCTAGACATCTGATCATTTGATCTTGGGCAAGACATTTCTCTGATCTGTGCCTCAACTTACCTATGAAAAGGAAAAGGAGGCGTCGTATCGTCCCTGTACATCTCAAGGTGTGATTGTGAGGCATAAACAAGCCAATCAGAACCAAGATCTCATAAAGATCAGAGAAGAAAGTATGTGATACATACAACCCAGTGTCAATCAGAGACATCATTTTGCAACTAATGTCACAATGTCTGAGAATAAAGTACATTAGTGAAATACATAATCTTCATCGACATGAATAACAACAGAGATACAGACACGGCTCCAGAGGAAGCGCTTATAGACTGTTCTTAAATAAACCAGGGCACACTGGGGAAGAAAGCATCGTTAACACTCAGCCAGGAGCTAAGTTTCCCAACAGTATATGTTCAGCCCATGGACCCAGCCCATCCACCTCGTTTGAAAACGTTTATACTCAGAAAATGTCCACCTGTCACATCCCGTTGCCCAGGAGAGGAGAAAAGGATAAAGAAGGCATGAGCATGTGGTAGGTAGGCTTTAAGGGTGGGGAGGGGGTCTAGGCAACGACAGCTCATCTGTCGCAGATTTTGGTCTGTGAGCTCTCCCACGCGATAGAGCCATGGGGTGATTGTTGCTTTATTTATAGAGCATTTTTCCCCCTCATTTAGACATACAGTCTACTAAGACACCCGGGCACAGATAAATAATAACTAACAGTTCTGCCTGGACATTGCTCTCAAAGGTTTTTTTTTTTTTTGCACCCTGAAATCCAAAGTGGAAGGAGGACCTCAGGGGTAAACAAAAGTTCTTGCTGCAAGAACAAGGTGAGGGGATGAAAATGGACAGTGAAAGCCCTGATCTCTGACCCAGGGCACGAGAGCGAGTCTGACAATGTCAGTAAATAGGAGGAAGTGTCTTTCCATTTTCACTTTTGATGACTTTATTTATCAAGAAATGAGTGTGAAATGAGGAACCTGGCCCTGGATTGTGTCCAGGTCAGGGTCCAGTCTCACCCTGCCTCTGTGCCACAGTGGGCTGAGCACTTCACCTCTCTGGTCTACAGCTTAGTTCTCAAGTAACTGTGAGATTTAGACTAGCTCAGCACTTCCCAAGTTGCGTTCAACAGAACATTAGTTCTACAGGATGTTAACAAGCATTAACGTGAAGGGGAAAATGCAGGGTTCTGTGGTCAATTAAGTTTGGAGAATGTTGGTTCAAACAAAGTTGAACAGGTTTCTTTACGCAAGGATTCTCAGAGTTTTCAATATGCTAACGTGAGTTCTGAATCGCCAAAAATTGAGCATAAATAGGAGAAACTTTCCTCCCTTACTTATTTGGCCACAGAATTGGGAGGGGGGTTGTGTTTTGGTTTTGTTCTATTTTTGCTTTGTTATGTTTTGGTTTGCATTGACAAGGATCTGGAGATAATTTGGAAACACGAGACCAGATAAACTTTAAGGTCCCTTCTAACCCCCCAAAGTATGAAATTCTACAAAAGACCATTAAATGGCTGTTGTGTTATTTTACAATTGGGGATGGGCGAGAGGAACCAGCCTTATGCTGGTGACAACTAAGGGTGTAACGTCACGTGTATATTTTCTCATTCAATTTTCATAATAACCCAGCAAGTCACACACCATCAATCTAATCTTACAAGGGAGGATATTGAAACTTTGAGAGATTAAGCAAATTTCTCAATATAATGCAGCTAAGACGCTATGGTTCCCCTGGTCAAACATAGGGATGTATGGATGCAATTTTAAGTAAGAAGACATTTGAGAACAAAAAATTTAAGGGGGTCAGATGGAAACTTGAAGGAACTAGCCATGCACATATACATCTAGGCAGAGGGAATAGACACTGCAGAAGCCCAAAGATGGGACTGCACCTGGCTTGTCTGAGGAACAGGAAGGAGGAAGCTCAATGGCTCAGGAATGGAGTGAGCAAAGGAACAGAAAGTAGGACACATGGAGCCAGAGACATAATGGGGCATGGGGTCATGTGGCACCTTGCCGTCATCACAGGAGCTCTGGCTTTGTCTGACTCAAGGAAATGGAGGGCAGGAAGGTGACACCTTCCAGCTTAGGTCTTAAAAAGATGGCTCAGTCTGCTGGGCTGAGAACAGATCCTAGGGGTGTGTGCTGGTCCTTCGTGTATCCACAGAGTATGTCTGCTTCTCCTGGGACACGGCTGGATTGTACCCTCATGTGACTGGCCTGGCCAGTGAGGTGTAACCAGATGTCACACATTTCACTTCCGGTGGATCCTTCCAGGGCCTCTGGGCAGTTCTTCCAGCACCACGTGATGGCAATGGTGGCTGCTCAGCTGTCCGGGTGGGCAAGAGGTGAACAGAGTCCCTCCACCAACTAACCTATTTCAACCGTGAGAGTGAGTGTTCTCGTAACTTTGTTGGTTAAGTGACTGAGAGATTGATAATTATTTCTGCTCCATAGGTAGCCTATTCTGACTGATGTAGGGGCCTAGGTAGAAGCTGGAGAACAACCAGGAGGCCCCTGCGATGATCCAGGTGAGACACCGCTGACTCAGTTAAGGTATTAGTAGCAGAGCTGAAGGAAGTGCTTGGATTTCAGGTATATTTTGAAGGTGGAGCCGATCGGATTTCCTGATGGATCAAGTGTGGAGCGTTGACAGAGTGGGCGGTCAGCACTGATTCCAATGGGCCTGAACAATTAGAAAGACAGAATTGCCATCAGAGGATGAGGAAGACTGGGTATAACAGGTTTGGAGGACAGACGGTTTACTGCAGGCTTTTTTTTTTTATGTTTCGATTTCTATTTTATCCTTCTGAAATTTGTTTCATAGGTTCTGGTTATCTGCTGAAATTTTTGAGTTTGCCTTTTATCTCCTTGAATATAGTTGGGAAAGTCATAAAGGGTTCTTAGCAAGAGGATGAGAGAATCCGGTTTATGAATCCTTCACAAAATTCGATGTGAAGGGAGAGTGTTTTGTTTTGTCTTCCTCGGCTTTTGGGGAAGTGAGAAAACTAAAGGGCCACGGAAGATGGCACCATCTTATGCAACTCCTTTTTCGAGCCAGCGCTCCAAACAAACCATTTGGAGCTCACTGATTTTAGTTTTCTCTTTACTGTTTTCCACCTTGATTGAGTCCTCTGACTCTGAAGAGCAGATCGATTCCGACACTTCTAATTTTCTGCCTGCCTGGTGACGCTCACTCTGATGTTTGTTTCCCTGTCTTCAGACGGTCCTCGGTCTCCTTCTCCTGAGCCCGCTACAACCGCACCCTCCCAGGGAGGACACTTCTGCCAACTCCAAATTCCTCGACCCTTAGGTGGTTTGCTTTGTGAGATGCTGCTTCTCTAACTACAAAGCCAGCCTTCCCGAAGCCCTTTCTAAGGCAGAGGCTGCCAACTGGCAGATTCCAGGCCGAAGCCCTCTCCCAGTTTCCTGCTGTTTTGTTTGATCCATACATGACAACAAACAATTGGGCGGGACAACATTTCGAAACAAGATTTCTTCTTAAAGATCAGAAGCGTTGGCGGTACTGAGAGCTTCCTTCCGAATCTCGGGCAGCAACAGCCTGTTAGAACTGAGCGGCTGCTGCTTCTTGAAATGCGGTGGGGACTCCCTGTGCACCCCATTCCCCTTGGACAGAAGAATCATTTACGGTCCCTGCCCAGCTCCTGCAAGTCTTTGTGCTTCTGCTCTC